TCTGTGGATGTCTGTCTCTGCTTCCATCAGCCACTGGATGAGGGCTCTAGGATGGCCTAAAGAGAAGTCATAAATCTCAATTTAGGGGTAGGGCTTTTAGTTTATCCTCTCCACCATTGCCTGGATTGTCAGATCATGTCATCCTTGTAGGTCTCTGGAGATCTCCCTAGTTCCAGATCTCTTCTCAGACCTATAGTGGCTCCCTCTAATATGGTATCTCTCATCCTGCTCTCTCTCCTCTATTCTTTCCCCATATCAATATTACTGCTCATACAAAATTTTAACATGTACAATTCTTTTATAAAAGTCATGGTCGTTCATGAGAAGGTGTTAGTGCCTTAAGTGCCCTATGTATTTCCCACTCTCCCTCTACTCTAACAATGTCAGCCTCCCTTTCTTATATTTGTGATCTCTTCTTTATTTTTCATTGATACTTGTACATGATCCCATGTACATATAACCTAAGAGTCCATTTAGCTCTGTGTGTATGTGAATGTATTCTGAGCTAAGCACTTGTGACTGGACAACCGATATGTGATTTCCCCCTAAGGCAGATGATTCTTTGTCTTTTGGCAACCAGTACCTTCCTTGCTAATTCCTTCATCTAGGCTTAAGACCATGTAGAATTTACTCATCCTTCTAAGTGCCATTTTGCTGGTTCTTTAGTATAAATATGCAATTGCAAGGAAATAGGTGTATTTCCTTGTCATGTCTAGGGGTTATACACTATCATCAGGGATCCTATGCCTCGGGGGTCTTTTTTCTAATCCTCTTTGGTTTTTCACAAGCCTTGTGTTGAAGGGATTCATTGCAGATATATCAGTTGGGGTTGGGCACCATTCTGTCAATTATTCTCTGCATTTTGTCCAGTTGTGAGATAAAGTTTGATGAGGGCTGAGAACTATAATTACCTGTGTGTCTAAAGACAGGCATTAGAAAAATGCTAGATTGTATATTAGTATGAAACCATAATTAGTCACCCTTTACAGTTGACATAAACAACATGAAATACCTTGGGGTAATACTAAAATGTGAAATACTAAAAATGTGAAAGACCTGCATCATAAGAATTTTGATTCTTTAAAGAAAGAAATTAAAGAAGATACCAGAAAATGGAAGGATCTCCCATGTTCTTGGAAAAGTAGGATCAGCATAGTAAAAATGGCAATCTTACCAAAAACAATCTACTGATTCAATGCAATCTCCATCAAAATCCCAGCACAGTCCTTCACAGACCTTGATAGAACAATTCTCAACTTTATATGGAAAAACAAAAGATCCAGGATAGCCAAAACATCCTGGTACAACAAAGGAACTGCTGGAGGCATCACCGTCAAGCTCTATTACAGAGCTATAGTCCTGAAAACAGCCTGGTGTTGGCAAAAAATTTTCAGGTAGACCAATGGGATAGAGTTGATAACCCCGATATTAACCCACACAACTAGGAACACTTGGACTTTGACAAAGAAGGTAAATTTATACGATGGAATAAAGAAAGCATTTTCCACAACTGGTGCTGGCATAACTGAATGCTGGCATGTAGAAGACTGCAACTAGATCCATGTCTGTTGCCTTGCACAAAACTTAAGTTCAAATGGATCAAAAATCCTCAACATTAACCCAGAAACACTGAACTTATTAGAAGAGAAATTAGGAAATATCCTTGAATGAATTGGTACAGGAGACTGCTTCCTGAACATAACACCAGTAAAAAAGACACTAAAATCAACAATTAATAAATTCGATCTTCTGAAATGGAGAATCTCATGTAAGGTAAAGGACACAACCAAGAAGGCAAAACAACAACCCACGGATTAGGAAAGATAGTCATCAACCACACATCCAACAGAGGCTGATCTCTAAAATTTACAAAAAATTCAAGAATCTAGTCTCCAAAACACCAATAATCCAATTTAAAAAGTGGGGTAGAGAACTAAATATCAATTCTCAATAGAGGAATCTAAAATGGCTGAAAGACACATAAGAAAGTGTTCAACATCCTAAGCCATCAGGGAAATGCAAATCCAAACAACTCTGAGATAACATCTCACACCTGTCAGAATGGCTAAAATAAAAAAAAAACCCACCAATGACAGTTTATGCTGGAGAGGATGTATAGAAAGGGGAACACTCCTTCACTGATGGTGGGAGTGCCAACTGGTACAGCCACTTTGGAAATCTGTATGGTGACGAACAAATGAGATATAATACCTTCTAGAAACTACCAATTTCTTAAAGAATTTAGTACATTTTAAATGTACATGAACAAGATAGTAAGAAGTAATTTCAAACTTCAAATTAATAACAATTACAAATGATGCTATATTGGAGGGCATAGCTTGCCCATAACCGAAGAATGGATAGAGAAAATGTGGTACATTTACATAATGGAGTACTACTCAGTGAAAAAAAAAAACAATGGAATCTTGAAATTCACAGGCAAATGGATGGAAATAGAAGAAACCATTCTGAGCGAGGTAACCCAGTCACAAAAATGAAGGCATGGTATGTACTCACTCATATTTGGATTTTAGACATAGAATAAAGGTTTGCCAGCCTGCAATCCACATTGCCAGAGAGGCTGGGAAACAAGGAGGACCCTAAGAGAGACATACATGGTCCCCTGGAGAAGCAGAAAGGGACAAGATATGCTGAGCAAATTGGGCGCATGGGGGGAGAGGAGATAGATGTAGGAGAATGAGAAGGGGATAATAGGGCTGAGGAAGACATGATGGGGCAGAGAGGTTGAGTTTGGGGAAGAACAGAAGAGAGCAAGATAAGAGATAATATAATAGAGGGAGACACTATAGGTTTAAAGAGAAATCAGGCACTAGGGAAATATCTGGAGTGCTACAAAGATGACACCAACTAACAGTCTAAGCAACAGAGGAGAGGCTACCTTAAATGCCCTCTCCTGATAATGAGATTGATGATTAATTCATATGCCATAGTAGAGTCTTCATTCAGCAGCTGGTGAAATTAGAAGCAGATCCTCATAGCTAAACCTTGAGCTGAACTGAAATCCAGTTGCAGAGAAGGAGGAATGATGAACAAATGGGTCCATACCAGGCTTGTGAAACCCACAGAAACAGCTGACCTGAACAAGGGAGAGCTCTTGGTTTCCAGACTGATAGGTGGGAAACCAGCATGGGACTAATCCAGACATCCTGAATGTGGGTGTCAGTGAGGAGACCTCAGAAATCTATGGGTCCCCTTGTAGTGGATCAGTCATTATTCCTAGCATAGGAATGGGCTTTGGGAGCCCTTCCCACATGGAGGGATATTTCACCTAGGCCCTATCCCAAAGAATAAGACAGAATTTGAAGACCTCCTATGGAAGTCATTATCTTCCCTTGGGAGCAGAAAGGGTATGGGATAGGTAAGTTTTTAGTTGTGGGGGCAAGTGAGGAGGGGAGGGAGAGGGACCTGGGATTGACAAGTGAAATAATTTTCTTTCTAATGAAAAGAAAAAAGAAACCATACTTAGATTGCTTATAGTATCAGGCATGGCTTCCCTTTTGTTGATTGTGTCTTATTTCAATTAGTGCTTCAAACCGCCAAAGTGCAAATTCCATTATTGTACCAATGTCAATGTCTTCCCAGTCCAGTTATTGTTGTGGTTCACAGAAGTCACATCTGGATTGGTCAAGTGGTTGTTCCTTTCCATTTTCAGCTTTTCACTGTATTAAAGGGACTTCTTTGTGAATAGGTACTAGGTAAATTTCTGTTCAATTTACTCCAAATTCTGAGTCTGTGTTATTGTGGCATCTGCAACAGAGTCGTGTCTTCAAGGCGTGTGACAATCAAGGGCAGAAATAGCTGATATTGTTTTGGAGGTTTCTTGGACTACCCTGACCAACAACTTGACAAAAGGTTTCTCATGAACGGCACTGGCATTTTCCTATATAGTCTGTGGCAAATGGTGAGAATATTATCAATAAAAATGGCATAATACCTTTGAAATACATGTTAATATGTATACTTTTACATGTATATTACATGGAATTTAGTATATGTGAGATAATATGGATATATATGGAGTCCCACCTGCCTCCCCTGGCAAATCCCGCCCCAGGAACAGC